GGCTGGTAAGTCGATAAAGGTAGTGGCGCTGTAGGAGAGGGATCATTGCAGGTCAGGGGGGAGGGTCGCTGCGTGCGGTGACGAAAGGTATTCTGCGTCTGTAAAAGTAGGCGGCACCACTGCAATGCGTAGGTAGCAGTTGTTACCAGAACAGGGGGGCTTGGGCTGACTGGGATGTATGACGATAAGGTAGGGGCTCACAGGTCACGACCACAACGTGTCGTCGGTGCAGTTCATGCCTAGCCCCGACCTTTCATCAGTATTGTATCTCTATTGTACTGGGAATCCTTGCGGTATGTTGTTGAAGCGTCACTATATTCGTCACAGGTCACGACCACAACGTGTCGTCGGTGCAGTTCATGCCTAGCGGAGACTTCATCGTGTCGTCGAGCCGTGACAAGACGATCAAGATGTGGGAGCTGGCGACGGGCTACTGTGTGAAGACACTGACGGGACACAGGGAGTGGGTGCGCTGCGTGCGCGTCAACTCCGACGGCTCGCTACTCGCTAGCTGCTCCAACGACCAGGTGCGTTCCTGCCTCTGCCGCGCTCGCCCCCGGTTCGCGCGGCGTCGTCGTCAATTATTTATCCGGTGGTTGAAAGAATTGTAAATTGGCGAGCGAATTAATAATCGAATTGTTTCGGACGACGGGGGCGGTCGAGCGGATCGAGTTGTTTTTTCCTCTTGCGTGGCTGATGCTGAGCCGTTGCTGTAGCTCTACCCCGTATCTTAGCTGGGTGGGCCGCTAAGCAGTGCCGTTAGCATTACTAGGTGTGGTTCTACTGGGTTGTTGTATGTTATATTGGATCGTGTGGCCTGGGTCAACACTAGTGTGTGGTTCTACTGGACCGGCTTCGAACATTTTTATTAAAAAAATGTTGCCGCCTTGTTAGCGATGAACGTCTGCGGTACGCGTAATTTTCACAGAAAAACCGAACACTTTTTGATGTTTATTATTTACAGACCGTGCGCGTGTGGGTTGTGGCCACGAAGGACTGTAAGGTTGAGCTGAGAGAGCACGACCACGTTGTCGAGTGCGTCGAGTGGGCGCCGGAAGCCGCTAACAACGCCATCTGTGAGGGAGCGGGCACCGACGTAAGATTTGCTGAACGAAGATGAATTGGAGGCGGAAATTTTGGGGAGGGTCGCGCAAAGTTGCGAATCGTCGCTAGAGGTCTTGCGCGGAAAGTTAGTAAAAAATCGAGAAATAATTTATGTTTCGTGAAGAGATTTGAGGAGAATCAATTGTGCAGTCATTTGTTGGTGTTCCCTAGTTGATACGATCGTTGGGTGTTCGTGGCAAGAGCAAGGAACATACGTAGTCTGTCATGAGAAGTATATTTTTAGGTATTATTGGATTGGATGATAGGTTTATCTTATAACGAGTATAAAGCGAAACTGCAAATTCATTTGTGAAGAGGATTTAGTATATCGTCAGGCACTATTAAGTTACATTAAGTTATATCAAGTAAGAAGTTCATAGAATATTCATAATAGCAGCACCCTGAATACTGCTAAATGCTAATAGCGAACGCGTCAAGTTGAAAAGCAGTAGTCGCAGAGTACAGTGGAAAATATAACAGGACGATGCATGCACAAACGAGTTCCAGAAAAAATTCCCATCTACGCCATCACAAGGAATACGTGTGTATGCTGCGTGCGTTTGTGGCGCCATCTCTAGGAATACGCGTATAAATATACGTGTGTTTGTCGTGTCGTTTGCAGCCGAAGAAGGGGAGCAATCGCGCGGGACCGTTCCTCGCCTCCGGATCGCGAGACAAGAGCATCAAAATCTGGGACGTGAGCATCGGCGTCTGCGTGTTCTCCATGGTGAGTCATCCGTCGCGACCTCTTGACCTTCGACACGACCTTCGACACGACCTCGGCGCGAATCGTTAGTCCCCGAGCCGCGCTCGCCGATCGATCGACGTCGTGCGAATCGTAATAGCAGTGACGTGTTGTCACACAATACTTGTTTAGTGTGAGTGTGCTCTCACATAACGGTGAGGAGATGTGTTGTCACACAATATGTGTACATCACACACTAACAATGTCTCTCTCTCTCTCTGTGACGGATGTTCTATTCGATGACCTTCGCGAGGCTCGTGTACGACGGGCGATCGATGTGTCATCACATGTTAATGCCTCCTCTCTCTCTCTCTCTCTCTCGCTCGCCGCAGATCGGACACGACAATTGGGTGAGGGGCATCCGCTTCCACCCGGGCGGCAAGTACCTGCTTAGCGCGTCCGATGACAAGACGCTGCGGGTGTGGGACCTGAAGAACAAGCGCTGCAACAAGACCCTAGACGCTCACCAGCACTTCTGCACTTCTGTTGGTGAGTGGATGGTTCGTGTGCGCGCTCTCCTCTTCTACTGCGGCTGCTACTGCTGCTGCCGCTACTGCTGCTGCTGCCGCTACTGCGGCTGCTACTGCTGCTGCTACGCTGTGTGAATGACTCATCCGCGTACAGTAGCTAATGCAGTCACTGCCGCCGCCGTCGCAGTCCACTAGCTGTCTGAACGGCGAGCGTACAGCAACGTGACGTACCGTGTTCCAAATGGCGTGCCCATTTATTTTGTTCCAACGATGAACTTTCTTCACGGCCGTGTACCTGGGAGCTGAAAAAAAATTGCAGAGGGAGGGACGTGGGTGGGGCTGGCTGGGGGTGGTGGCCGAGGGTGGGATGCAGTTGGGGCTGGCCTAGGGGAACGCTGGTGGGGCTAACCGAGAAAGGGACGTGGATGGGGTCCTCCAGGAGCGGTAAGGGGGCGCCACCACCGAGGGGCCGGCGCGTACTCACGGCTTCTCCTCGTTTGTGTTCTCCGCAGCCGGCCGAGATCGACAAGAAGTATGGCGGACTGCTCGAGAAGAAGTGGACATCTGTCATCCGGCTACAGAAGAAGGTAGGTCGTCGCCGTCGCCGTGGCCGTGTGACGTCTCGCCACCGTCACAGCCCGGCAGTGTTAGCGTACACCTCTGTAGAACAT